AAGTGTGAAATAATTATTTCTGTGATAAGACAGTTGGATTCTAGCAGCAATGAAAAATTTCAATTTCTTTTTGATAGGTGTGACTGTGACTGTCATCTGAGTACTGAAATATGCTGCCAAGCATGATCATGATTTGCCAGAAGAGCATCTGTTGGGAGATCAGATGACAAAGTATAAACAGCGTAATGAAATTGAAACTGTCTGACATGTGAAACAGTCTCAGTTTAAGAAGATTGCTTTTTAAAAATATAGCATATTCGAATTTTGATTTGAGAAAAAGACATAAATCAACAATTTGACAAATAAGAACATATCAACTGCTTTCAGTTTTTCAAGAGAAATAGATTCTGTTACAGAATCTAGTATGTTTAATTTGGAATTAATGTTCGTTTTAAATGTGTCAAATCTTGCATGTTTACATAGATCTGTATTAAGGTCTTACGTTTCTAAGGGAAGGCATACCAATGCTAATGGTTAGGATGATAAAGATCTGTCTTCAGCAGCAACATTTAAGATATAATATGTGTATTTTTACAGTATTATTGAAGGAAAGTTCTTACCTTGGCATAGACAACTACACCATTAACATATGTGCATTTTTCAGCACAAAGGACATGTACATGTACATATTGTTTCAAACATAAGATCAAAGAGATGTCCAAGCATATTTCAAAGTCAACAAAGCACTAAATCTGTATACAGTTTAACTCATATGAGCTAATGCTTTAGTAATTTTTTTTTAAATAAAAGTCACCCATTATCATCTTTGAATTAAATTCATCAGAATTTCATGTTCTTCTCAGAACCACGGGGCAATTTAAGTTAAACTTGGCACAAAGAAATCTTTAATATAGTGGAATGAAATTTGTTCATATGAAGGACAGTGCTTTTAGAAAGAGATCTTTTTGTTGAATGTCCTGTTCAGAGAACTTTACTACACTCTTATTGAGATACCACTATTTGCCAGTGGAGTTCTGCAAATTAGAGACTTGCACAACACATTCCTTTGTATTTCTTGTAAAAGTATTCATTTGGTCTTTTTTCCTGACCTGATAAAAATGGAGATAGTTCATCAGTAACACACTTGGATTACTTACTATTATAATACTATCCAATTAACTGTGTAAATATATTTAAAACAATTTTTAAGCTGATGATGTATCAAAACACTGATAATCCGTAGCATAAAACACTTCACCAATATGATTGCATCATATGTAATGCTAGTATATGTCTACAAATCAAAGTCAAAATATGAGGTTGTATAAATTTTGTAGGTACAGTTTCAATGGTGTTGGAGACATAACCATTGAATTATTTATCCTTGTGCTCACTCCAGAATCAGACTTTAAGAAAGGGTATTTGCTGTTTGAATCAAAGAAATAAACAATGGTAGCAAAGTTTATATTTGAACATTCCACTTTTTGCTTATTGCTAAGAAGGAAGACCCACTCGTTGCTTTGCAACGAGCTTTGCTCTAGTAATCCTTTTTTTCTGTACAATTTTTGTGCAGAAGATTTCTCGGAGATGGCTCGACAGATTTACTTGAAAATTTCGGAGAAGACGTATCTTTATCTAAACCTTACATTATTTTTTTTTTATTTTTTTGAAATTCACTTCCGGTCGGAAGTTATCGTCCTTTGATCAAAATTTTGATGACCTCCATGTCTGTGATGGAACTAAAAAACGGCTCAAGCTAGAAAGCTGATTTTTTTTCAGGGTTGATAGAGGACATGTTGCCATGTTGCAACATGGTCAGGATATTTTCCGGAAGTGCCTAGAATGGAAGCTCGGTAGGGGTCGAAATTAAGGAAACGAATCATGACTTATTTTTGGAGACATTTTGCATCATATCTTTTAAAATATAATTATTTTGTTAAAACATACTGAGCAATATTTGTGCAGAATGACAAGATCTTTAATATGATATCAAGAAAAAAGTGCTGACTCATCACATTAAGGGCTGAGAGGGTCCAAAATCTTTATTCGATAACTCTGTTAAAGTAAATATTTTATTATACATTACTGAAGCAAAAATGTTTATCTAAACAATCTACAACTAAATATTTTTATTTTAATGTCATATGAAACATGATTAGGGGCTACAAGGGGCAAGAATGTTAAATCTTTAACGCTTTATATATCTCAAGAGTGGGAAATATTTTGATAAGTAATATTGAACAAAAGTTGTTGAAAATAATGTTCTGAACAATATGCAACCATTCATTTTTCGCTAAACTTCCCCATTTGGTAGTTGAAGGGTTAGCCCCTAAATATTTCTTTTGCAAATAACTCGAAAACAAAAAAGAATCTCTGCATAGTTGTTGAACAAAAAGTGATCAAAATCCTTAGAGCTTTAAGATGATATGATTAAGGGCTGATTCCTAAAATTAAGGGCCGTGATGGGCCAAAAAAAGATTTTTAAGTCTTTAATGTTCAATGTCCTTTAACAGATTATGGAAAATCATTATTTTAGAATGAAAATCTCAATCAAAATCCTATCTCATCGCATCAAGAATCGGACAGAAGACCCACTCGTTGCTTGCAACAACATTGTATCTAGTTATTCTTCTTTTTTTCTACTTCCTAGACGCCAACTTTGAAGCCTCACATCTCACTCATTTCTCAATTGATTTCGCTAAAGTTTCAGAGATACTAAAAGTTACTTAACTCTAGGGAGGATGACAATTCTTAACCGATTAATCGATAAATCGGTCGGAGCGATGTTAATCGGTTAGAAAATCCGTAATCGGTAAGTCGGAAAAAAAATAAAAATTTATGAAAATTTTAACACATTTTCTTAAAATTAATTTTTTTAGAAAGAAAACCGCTGCTTAAAGTTGATTTAACGTCGTTACATATCATGTAATCAAATAATTTGGTGGGATTTATGGCTCTCCTGATTGAGATAACGGGGTAATTGGTCAGTTTGTAAAGTGTTAATTGCTGTTTTTAAAACATCATGTTGCTATCCCGACTGTCCTGTACGTGGTTTTTTTTATGATATTAAAAACATCATCAGATAGCACTTGTCTATATGTTGCCGTAATTTATAAGTAATGCTATATCAGGAAAAAAAGTTGTAAATAAGTTCAGACATAATATAACATAACATAAATTTAACATACGTTGGAAAAAAATATCCGTGTTTGTTTTCTCAGGCAAGATTTATCGTTTTCTTTATTTTTTTCTTGTTTATTGAAATTAAAATAAACTAAACGCTCGTGCACATAAAATATCCCAATCAAAATAATTAGCAAAATGTAACTTCTAATGTCTTTATTACCGTCTTGTGTATGCAAAATAATGTCAAAATGTACTTCTTGATACGACTAACCGGTTAATCGGTCGGAACGTCTTGCTGTTAACCGATTAGCAATTCTGTAATCGATTGCCATCCTTACTAAACTCTATCAGAATGTTGTCTAAAATTTCAAAACGTCACTTCCGTTTTGATTTATTTCCTTTTAAATGAAAGGAGATGGGTGAACATGATGAGAGAAAAGCCCATAGTGCAACAAACATGAACGTGAAAAATTAAATCTCAATTTTATCAAATTCTTCCTTAATATTTCATCTAATATTAAAGTATATTTTATGTAAAATCTCTTCAACTTGCACAAATCTCATGAAAATTGAAGTTATTTACCAATGAAATATGATACACACACAAAAGAGGACAAAACGAGTCATTTTTTCACAATATAACACTATTTTTCGTTATGAGTGGGTCTTCTCTCCATTTTTTTCCTGAAAGTTTGCATAAAAATATACATATTTTGTTTTCCAAAATTATGGAGCAATGACCCACTATACCTAAAAAAATATAAGTTTATGACATAACTTTCGTATCTTTTTGAGAAATACTTGAAGTCCCTTAAGTCAATGGTCATATCACAAACATGATTTAAATGCCACACTTCATCAGGACTTGTGTAGCGTAGTGGTTAGCGTGCTTGTCTCAATAGAGAATGCAACTCAGGATTTCTATTGCCAGGGTTCGAACCCAATGGATACCTCATTATTTTTCTTGATAAAAGAATAAATTTTAACGAAAAATTTTTCTCAGAACTTTTTGTTTATTGTGATTTTACAAAAATCAATGGTGAGAACTTTACTCTAAATACTAAAATAACAATTTGAATATGATTTTTATACATGTGTAAAGCTTGTGGGTTTTTTGCACGCTTAGTTCACCCATCTCCTTTATAGGCTTTCGTTTCCAGACAAAGGCTCAGAGACAGCTAAAGCTGGAGCAGAAATTCTATTAATTTTTAAGAATTGAAGGCCTGAAGTTGTTCACATTGGTTTTTGTTTTTCGATTTCTCTGTTCAAAATGACGCTTGATAGGATTAAAAAATTAGAACGCTTAAAAAAGCCAAAAATTACTTGCTTTTTATTTCTAAACTAAAACTATTTTGTTAAAATATATCGAATATAATTTGTGCACAATTAGCAGGTCTTTCAAATGATATCTCGAAAAAAGGGCTGATCCCTATATTTAGCGATCTTGAGGGACCAAACTTTTTTCCAGATATCTCAAAAAGTATTAAGAATTGTTATATATCAAAGAAGCAAAGTTGTTGAAAATCCTTGGTAAAATCTACTGATGTCATCAAAATCCGTCTTGTGACGTCACTTCCGACCAAATCTTAAGTAGTCCAAAACTGCATATTTTTGCTGTTTTTGACATGTTTTGGGGTAAATGTTCGTCACTGGAAGCATGAAACTTCGTCGACGTCACTTTCGGTCAAACAGGAAGTAGCAACACTGGCTTACTTTTGCAATTTTCCATATAGATTTCTAAGATTTAAATCATTAGAGACGTCATTTCTCTCTATATTTTTTTTTACAATAAATTTAAGTCACTTTCGGTCAAACAGGACGGAATACCTACTCATTGCTTTGCAACGAGCTTTGCTCTAGTTGCATTTCAGAAACTGGACATGTTAAACTTTTAGATATTGCATACAGATAAATGAAGTTACACTTACGATTTTTTCCTTATTCCTCGTCTTAGTAATAAAGGCAAGGTTGGTATTTGTGTTGCTGAAATTGGTGTCATAATTTGTTTATGAGCAGCTTCATAATCGGACAATATTTCTTCAACCGTGATTCCATAGCATTTCTGATCTAAGAACAAATTAAACCATGAACTACTATTAATAAAAGGTGTTTGTCATTTTTCTCGATGTGAATTAATTATTTTTTACAAAAATTAAGTGATAAATAACGTTACATTTAAGACGCCATGTAATATTTCAATAGTAATATACTGTTTGATTTCATGCAAGTGTGCTTATGTGTCACTCACATTTGTAAATATCTGTAGAATTATAAACCTTTGGACACGGAAAATCAAACTTTGTACAATCAATTAGAAAATTTCCTTGTATGACATCACCAGCTGTGTTGTATTCTGGACAGCAACCTTGAAGTAAATTCAAAAAGGTTCATGAATGTGAATAAAAACAGTGCTGTATGCAGTATCAATGAACTCATTTGGTTCGTAAAAATGTGAGAAAGATGAAATTTAGATTAAACCTCCCTTTAGTAAATTTACTATATTTTACTCAGGCCATCCATAAATATATGTTGAATTCAAAGAAAATATAGAATGAGCAGAAAAATGCTATCAATGTGTGTGATAAATGAGAAATAATAATAAGATTTTTTTCTTTTGCTTGTATGTTCTTTTCATTTCATTCTCATTCCTAGTTATAGAAATGTTGGGAATATATACTAATTCAAATGGTTTGTTGTTGGATATACATAATTTTTATAAAGCGATATCTGTACTTTATTTTTGTCAAATCTAAGTCTTGATGACGGTTAGAAAACAGGAAACACGTTGCATGAATATGGAAAAAAAACACCTTGGGATCTTTTCTATTTATCGTTTTTTCTACACTTTTTTATGTAAGAATTAAAAGAAAAGAATACAACTTGTATGTTGTTATAGATATGTCTCTTATTATCACATACTTTGAATGTCAACGTAGTTCTATAATTGCATCTTGCATGTTTCATGTCAGCAACAGGCATTATTAAGTGAATTACAAAGATTAAAATTATATTCTCTAATAAGATAAGTGAATAGAATGTTATCATAATTTTGGGGTATGTAGATGCAATTTATCTTTCATATTGACATATTTTTTTCTTGCACGAGATACATGCTGATTATCAAGAATTAATACCGATTATGATAACTGGTGGCGCACAGACCTCGTACATTTTATCTAACCACTCATCATTTAGACAGTGATAAGCGTATTTTCTTGTACAATTCATTGATAATGATTCGCAGTTCTTCATCTCTGATGCTCTTTTCCATTCTTCTTTATGAGAAGGACATTTGTCAACAGGTTTTGCAAACGTACGAAGCTCTGGGCATCTGTTTATTTTCTGAAAGTATAACGGTTCATTTATTTTAGTAACAGTTTAATAATGATGAGATATCTGTGACATATTTCTGTTGTATAATATATATACAGAATATAAACTTCACCCATAATATAACATGTAAAACTATAACAATTATACCTAATATACCTATATTTGCTCGAAACACTTCGAGTTATGATAAAAACATAATCCTAAAAAATTAACGCAATCTTATCGTGGCAATAGTTCGTACTCAATTTTAGCTAACCTCGACAATGTTGAGATGAGCTAATGCTACACATCCGGCGTCGGTGTCCTAGGTTCAAGTTTAAGGAGAAGTCCATCCCTACGTAACTTTAAGTCATACCCGGGCCAAACGTGCATGGATCAGATCCAGCTTTCGAAGCTAGTCTAAATTATCCATGCTTATTAAATCATAAAAGGCCATTAAATTAAAGGGCTACTCAAAAACATTACATTGGTTACTTATCTGAAAAAATGTAGGTCAAATCCAGCATCCGAAGCGGGTATAGTAGTGTCCATCCCCAGATGCATCATCCTTACAAGTTTGGTATGGGTAGGGCTGATAGATACTTGGGAATTGACTTGCTCTATAAATGTGAACCTGGTCACTCAACTGTAAAACTGTAGTGCAAAAGTGTAGGCCATATCTAGCATCTAAAGCAAGTCTAGTAAATTTCCATTCCTAGATGCATCATCCATTATGATTAAAGTTGGTTCAGAAAGGGCTTATAATTATTTGGGAATATACCTGCATCAAAATCTATCATCCGGTCACTCATCTGGAAAATTAGTTAACAGAACTACCATGAATATTGTCAGGATAAATATATGTACCGACTATTACGAAAAAATTATGTGAGAGTTACATTATTCAAACATCTGAAATCGAGGTAAGCTTAGAAATCTTTGATTACATATGTTTGTATAAGAGAAAGAGAGATATTGTATTCCTTGGCTGTGCATTTCAATGAATTATTATAATAATTGTAGTCGAATAGAAAACAATGGATACTGATACTGTACAAGATTCCTAAATATATACGTGGAATTCATCATCCCTTAATTGCATGAGAAGCACCACACGCGAAATACTTAAGGTTATTCGCCTTTTTTTAAGGTGCTGAAATCTATGTTAAATATCTTGATCAGCTGTCCACTCGCGATCGAACTATTATTCTCGCGATTTGCCGTTGAAGAGTCAAATTGCGATAATAAGTGCACGCGAAAATAAGGAATTTACAGTAATAAGATTTTGACATCGAACTCATGTAAATGTATTGCTCAATAAATTAAATTCACAATGATGCTTTAAAAAGAATATATCAATTTCTCAATAAATATTGATATTGTGTTAACACTGGCCATATACACAACTTTTTTCAGTTATTTTCCTTAGTAAAATTTTACCCCAGAAAGCAGTCGCCATTGCATCCGTGACGCTGCAAAAACAAACTTCGTAGCAACAACACACCGGTGAAACTACGAACTGTTCAACCGTAAATATTAGCGCACAAACAACATTTAATGTATGAAAATCTTGTAAATTCTTTCGTTTGCCTTAAATATGAATCAATATCAATGTGAAAATTGTAAAAGGTCGAATTACTTCCTCGCCAAAAGATGTCAAACCACAAGAATGGAAGGACGATATGCCGGAGTGGCCCCAAGTTGAGTATGGCGATAGTTACAATTATTTGATTTTGAGTCAGGCGTGTGATGGCCAAGGGATGGAAAACTACAAATCTTTGGACAGTTTCAATTATTTTAAAAGTGCTTCCTTGGGGAAAATTCTACATTTTGCTATCAATAGTTGTTTTAAAATCTGAAGTACGCCCTTCACAAAAGTCAACTCGGAGTATTATAATGCATGAAGGATATGGAAATAACGAACAGTATTCAATCTCAACGTCCATTAAACAAATATACAAAATAAGAGCAGAGCAAACACGGACCTCCGAAACATCAGAGGTGGGATCAGGTGCCATGGAGGAGTGAGCATCCCCTGCCGACCGGTCACACCCGCCGTGTGCTCGTTGTCAGAATCAGGAAATAACGGAAAAATCCGTAGTCAATTCAGTGTATAAAATAATGGACTAACAATTGGTATGAAAAACGTCAGTCAGCATTTCATTCAATGATAAATTGTACTTGCTGACAAGGTCATTGTATCGACCATAGAATTTATGAAATGATGACTTTAAACGAGACTGTTGATATTCTTGTTTCATCAACTTGCTTGTCAACAATTTACCTCGTTTAAGAAATTGTTCATACGTAGAGCATGCTCTTGCGTATCGAATCAACTGAGATATAAATACTCCGTATGCAGGTGATGAAGGTATATTGCTGCATAAGTAAGGGAAGTTGACATTTGAAAAGTTAAAGTCATCACGTTTATCATATAGCTTGGTTGTTAGATTACCATGCATGTCTTTTTCAAGTAAAATATTCAAGTATGAAGCAGAAGTGTCGGACTCTGTGGTATCTTTTATCTTAAGCTCACCAGGATATATCGTGTCGACGTAGGAATGGAAATTATAATCATTAATTGACAATACGTCGTCGATATATCTAAATGTCGAGTTGAAGGCCACAGCAAGTGTTTTCTTCTTTTCACGTAAAAGATTTTGCATAAATTCTGCTTCATATGAATATAAAAATAAGTCTGCTAATAACGGAACGCAATTGGTACCAATTGGATTACATGTATATGTGACATGGTTGCCACGATTTTTTAGTGCTGGTTGTTCTTGTATGGCAGGGAACAGTAAAACATGCAGTCATGTCGGTGCTGAGCTATAGAAAATTGAATATGCTGTGAGGTCAAGACTAACATGCAAATCTTGTACCGATGAACAAATGCAATTGAACAAGGGTTCAACGATAAACCTGGATCCAGGTTTTTTTGAGGAGATGGATTTTAAAAAACCTAGATACAGCCGTAGTGACGTTAACCAAAATGTTGAAAAACCACAAAACACAAAATCAATATTCCCTATATTTGTATGCATGTTTTGTATGTTCAATCCTATAAATATTTTGTACAAAATAGTGAACCTCAGGAACTGTTATCAGTAAAAATTTCTCTTTTAAAAAAATCTGTGCAAGCTTAAGTGAATACTCCTAAATTCAAACCTTCATCTGAGCCTCATACTGAACACTCTGCAGAACTAACGTGTAAAAAGTGTTTTTAATTTTTTAAAAAGTATATAAATCTTACTGAATCTCAAATCAAGTCCTTATCTCATACAACTATTTCACAAAGTCAATCAGAACTGCGGCATCAGATTAGAAAAATTAGAATAACAGGCAGCACTACTCACAAGGTTCCAATCCGTGACACTACAAATAGTGATAACTTCATTTGAGAGCACTTAATATACCCTTCCTTTAAAAGCAATAAATTCACAAAGCATGGACAGATTGGTGAAAAGCTTGCAAAACAACAACAGTTTGTTGGCCCAACGTTGGCCCAATGTTTGTAATACAGTACACCCTTAAAGAAAGTGTCTTTCAATTTGGTAGTACTATGTCGGCCCAACGTTGGCCCAATATTTGTAATACATCCATAAAGAATGCGTCTTATCAAGTTGATAGTAGTATGTTGGCCCAACGTTGGCCACATGTTTGTAATACATCCTTTAAAAAGTGTATTAGCAAATTGGTATATATAGTAGTATGTTGGCCCAACGTTGGCCTAATGATTGTAATACACTCTTAAAGAAAGTGTCTTATCAAGTTGGTAGTAGTATGTTGGCCAAACATTGGCCAAATGTTTTAATACACCATCAAAACATGTCTTATCAATTTGGTTGTAGTATGTTCGCCCAACGTTGGCCTGATGTTAGCACGAGTGTTCTATTGTTAAGATGTTTCAAAGATGGGATATTTATATTGGGCCAACGCTGGCCAACTTATTATTAACTGTGAACTGCCAACTAAATGATGGTGTCAATTTTAGCTATTGGGCTTTACGTTGAGACAACGTTGGTTCTAAGTATTAATTTAGATGCACATTCTGAAATAATTAAGAGGACATTCTATGTCCATGCTTTTAATTGGATTACTTTTTTAAAAACATTTTAACCCTGAACTTAAGTGATAACAGCACCAAAGAGTGTTTTATTATTTTTTTTAATTGTACGCATGCATGCTTATTTATTTGAAATAAAACCCTTGAAATTATGTTTTTCATTAGCGTTGTATTCAAGAGAATTAAAGATGATTGAATAAATTCTCAGGAACAGGATGTGAAATAAGCCTACATAAGCGTTAATCAAAATGACACAGCTTCATAATTAAATTGAAACAAAAGTTAGGCTTTCGCTTAAGCTTGGAGAGTTGCACGGCGATTGAAACACCAAAGTGTGGAGGGAGCTGTCAGTTTCAATTGCTCACAGGTGTTGATAGACTGAAAATGCAGGGCAAGCAAGAAGTGAGATTAAACACCTTCTATAGCTGCATATCGAAGCGATACAAGTATATTTATTCTTATTTATTCAGGTTCACTGTTAAAATTGATTCGGAATTCATTCTTTTCATGTTTTTACACACAAGCACTGTAAGTTGATGTAGATACAAATACACGTATATGTGTATACCGTTTGCAAATACATGTATTTCAAATTTTATTTACAATAACTTCTAGAGCTCGAAAAAATGCAATGATAAACAAGTTAAATAGCATCTTATAAGTTGTTTCAATCTTATTCTTAACTGTCTATTACGACAAGATTGTAAATTAATGTTTTTAGATCAATAAGCACCAATAGTATAATACATCGTTCTCTTTTTCTTTGAGGTGATAATTGTATTGCTTCCAATATCAAATTATTTTGTGTTTGCAGTCAGAGACTGCAAGGATAAGAAATGTTGAGGCTGTAAATAACAATGAAATCGAAGAGAATAATGAACATGATGAAGTGTATGAAATACGAGTACGTATGACAAAGATCAAGATGAAGAAACGGGCGGCGACCAAAGGACGGAAAAAAGAGCAGGAATACAACAAAAGGATAGTGATAGAGGAAGTGAGCCATGATTAAGAACTTCGAATTAATAATTTTTCATATTTTACCTCCATTTTCTATTTTAAAGGACAAGATAGGGTTACAGCCATTTGGCTCCTTATTTGATGTAAAAATCAGAACACTGGTAGAATTGTGATACTTTGTCGTTAAAAAATTAAAAAGATCCTTGCATTAATATAAGCACTAATTTTAATTGAAAGCCTACATGGAAGCCACAAGGGGATGCAGAAATAGGCCATTTTTCAGAATTTCCTCAATTCTGGTGGAATTTCATTATATTTGGGATACATTTCTCTTTGGAAAACATAGAGCACAAGCTTGCCTATCTGAGATTTTTACACAAAAACTGCATCTGATATTAGTGTATAAATTAAATAAATTTGGTAGATAGGCAAGCGTGTGCTCCATGTTTTCCGAAAGAAAATGTGCTGTAAAATTGATGAAAATTTGCATAAAAATGAGAAATGTCGGAAATTTACCTATTTCCTGACCTAACTGTGGCCCCTGTATATTCTTAATCTTACAACCAATACTCATTTTGTGGCAGGGGTGACAACGGGTTTTTATGGATAAACTGTTGGATCATTCTAAAAGACACCCTAAATCGGGGGCCAAATACTGATCTATCCTATCTTGTCCTTTATTTTGTAAATTATGATTGAATTGATGCATATAAAATATTTTCACAGTGAATCATTAGTAATGTTTTCATTGAATATGTCCATGTATGCACAATGAATTCAGGTTGAATTGTGTATTAATTTTTTTTTAAAAAGTCATGAAATAGGTTGATGTAAAGATTCACTTAATCAATTGCAAATGTTTCGATAATAACTACGTTGGCCAAACAATTAATTTGCCATCTGATATTGTAAAAAAGGGTCAATATTTGGTCAACCTAGGTTATATATTGTGTGAACTGCTATTTTCCGTCTCTATAGTTTATAACGAAATACTGTAATCATAGGCGTAATCACAGGGGGGGGGGGCAGGGGCGCAGGGGGGCAGGGGGGGACGGGGGGGGCACTAGCACCCCCCTCCCACTTTCAGATCGGGGGGGGCAAGAGTATGTCTGTGCCCCCCCACTTATAAATGAAGAAAAAAATTCACAGCTATTTTTTCCCAACATTACCTTTATTATAGGAAAAAATGTTCATTGAAGGGATAGTCCCCCCTTCGCACTTTTTGACCCTAGTATAGTTATATGTGGATTTTGAATTGTGGGGGGTGGGGGGTGGAATTGAAAGTAACTTGCCTTTATACAAGTTGGCCACTACCCCCCCCCCCCCCCTCCCCAATTGGGGAACATTCCCTTTTTTTTCTTGTCAAAGGATTTCTGGACTTGACCCCCCCTTTTAAGTTTTAGGCTTGTGACTACGCCTCTGACTGTAATCATGTATATCGTGCATATCAGACAAAAAAGTAGTCTATATATTGTGTCGATTTTGATCCCGATTGAATAATAACGAAACACCAGACTGATCTCGATTTGAAGTCAAAATAATGCTACGCATTTAATTTTTTTTTTATTTTCGGGTCCAAATCAGAAAAAAATTATACCATAGTAAAAATGTTGAACTTTTAATCATATAATTGGAATAAATTAATCGTCGTTACCCTGTTTACGAAGTTTTTGACTTGATTAAAGGTAATGACTGAGTGATAAGCACGAGTGAAATTAAACAAGTATGTTTTATTAAATGATTACATCGCACTTCTAGATGGCTAAATTAATCGTTAGCTATAGAAATGAATTAAACAATTAATAAGCTTTAAAAATAGCAATAAATTAAATGCGTGTTTGTAATTGATCGAGACACTCGCATAATTAATAAAGACAGTCTACATCTAATCACAGAAAGTGATAAAATTTCAATTTATCTTTATAAAAGTTTTTAAAGAATAATTCACTGTATGCTGAATTTGCGGAATTTCTTTATCCGCGAATATAGAGAAAATTAACTCCGCAAGTTAATTTCCTGATGTACAGTAGTTGGCATACATTAAAAACTACATTGGCCCAACAATATCCCATCTGACATTTCAACAAAGGGCCAACCTTACCAACCAGTTATTAAAGTTGGCTGTTAGTTGTCATACAATTTAACCTACGTTGGCCCAACAATATGATCAAAATTCCATGGGCCAACGTAAGGTTACCAATAGAGGGCCAACGTTGGAAAAAAAATTAGGCCAACGTTGGCCTAACTATGTCTTGCTATCTGGGCAGCAGGGCCAAAGATACCTTGATACTCAGTTGAGCATCTTGTTTATTTTTTCCAAAAGATATAAGACAAGGAGTATAAAACGATTGAATATTGAAAAATATGAACATTCCTTTCTTTGTCTTTCTTCTACTTACGTTGCTCAATATATGTTGGGAAAAAATGATCAGCAAAATGCAATAAATTCCTGCATGTGGACTTTTATCCATACCATATTTTCCCCTGGAACCAAAAAATATAACTAATTGAAAGAATATATACATCTACACAGTAACTGTAATAATTTATAGTTCCCTATCGGTAAGACTATTTTCCCTGGCGACCTTCCAACCTCGGGAAATAGTTCCCTCGTTCCCATTCCATTAAACATAACCTTCGAAAACCGTCAGAAGACATATTACATGCTACACAATCGAGTGGATTCCCCAAGGAAAATGTCGAATTGCGCGTCCCATGAAAACTTGGCAAAAGTCATGTGAAGAGGAGTTCAGGCAATGTGGACATACCTGCGAACAACTAAAAAGGCTGCCCAAAACAAAGTTCGATGGAGAACTGTTGCCAAGGCCCTATGTTCCATCAGGAACCATTATCATATGACCAATTCCATAACTAATAGTCATGAGGGAGACGTCTCACAGGGAATAGCTGTGTTTTCAGGGAGTAGTCCTCAGATGAGGGGGATAGTCTCGTCTTGGGGAAATAAGCACTTTTATGGTATTACATGTAATGTTCTACATGTATAGAGTAATAACGGTAGAGGTAAATCAGTGTAAGATATTATACCAATAAATATTATCGCCTTTCAAATTCAGTTTTGGTGGCACAGCCAAATATTTTTAGTTGCAAGGGGGTATATAATCAACTTCCATAATTCATTGACAAAAGTTCATCAGACAATTTTATTGATTGAACACATGTACCTGTATAAAGTAGCTCTTTTATATTTAATATATCAAATAAAGCGTTGCGTTCGCTTTGTGTTCGGGAGGTCCGGGTTTGATTCTCGTTCGAGGCGACGCGTCATACATTAGACACAAACATAAGAATTAATTTTCCTTCGCCAAGCGCTCAGAACTAGAAGTGTAAGTCACGTGTCTTTCGGATTTGACCTTAATACATTGGCCTGGTCCCGTTTCACGGTAGGCATTGGATGATAAAGAAACCCTCACTGCTTATTGGCCCTGAGCGCCGAGTATAGCTTTAAATTTGAAGCTCTTCACTGACATACGGTGACGTCTTTGTTCATTTGTAGGAGTAAGAAATTCCCGAAGGGGACGTTAAACAATATACAAATAGTCAATCAATTTATCGACAGAATTATTAGGGGAGGGCAGGGCCTACGGCCATGCCTTTAATTCTGAAGAAAACCGTTGCTGTTAATCAGCCGGGAACCACCGATTAGCAAACCGCCTATATACGAGGACCGTTCAAACATTACGCAGATTGTCCTATTATTTACTCTTACAGACATCATATAGTCATGAAATTTCACAGAAAAAAATTTTGGGCAAAATTTCTGTATTTTAAAAAAAATTCAACGAAAATTATCGGTATGTTGATATCGTTGATGGAGAGGTACGGAGCACAACAAAAAATATGAAACAAAAGCATGCGGAATAGTAGCGATATTTTTCGATAATTTTCTCGAATGTATCTTTAAATTGTTCTAATATGTTGACGGCGCGACCGTTAGAGCGAGCGCAAACTCTTCTATTGTTTTGATTTTGATCGGGCTCGTCAAACCACACGTTACAATTAGTGCGTCTAGACTCTGACGTCACATGACGTATGTAAGTCGCAATATAACGAGAAAAAGCCTGAACAGTGCTGAAAGTCAATGAATTACGTTTTGTTTTCCATTTATCTTCAACAAATTCCAATAAATCAAGGCGAGTAAACTTTCTGTTGAACATTTGCCATAATTCTCGCGAGAACGTAGCTAAAACAAGTGATACAATGTGGGTGCAAATTACAGCATAAAAAAAATTCTATCGAATGAATGTGCAGTAATCCGAATTTTCTCTTCGCACAGGCGTTGCTTGAAGATGCTCGCTCTTTGCGCCGCCTCGCTACGCTCGCTATTATTATGCATTTAAATTTCTGACGTGATATTTGAACTAACAGAAATATAGCGATTTTTCTCCGATGCAATGCCCGTGAAAACGACTGTGCAAATATATCAAATGATGTCTCCTGAATTGACGGCGCACCACACTTTTGTTAAATTAAGTGTAATGCTCGAGAAATCGCCAACATAGATCCAAATATGCATACCCTCTAGGGTATTCGTGACATTCTTCCACAAATAGCAATAGCAAATTGAAATTTTAGGCCGTTATACCTCAGTCTGTAAAAAGGCTATACGCAAGGAGGGGAAGAAGATTATCGGCGAAAACTTTATCCGGACTGCAAAGAACGTGATTGACAGTCACCAATATCATACTATATCTAATAAATACCTGCAGCTTTTAGTTTTAAAACAAAAAAGGATATTCTTTACTTGTTTAATATATTTAAGTTTGACAAGAAATGGTGTTTGGACGTTAAGTAGATAAGGTAACTCAAACTGTACAGGTACTCTTGGAAAGTGTTGAGAAAATAAAAGCTCAGTCACAAATTATTTTAGAATGCCTGTGACGTCGAAGATTTTGCTTTTCCCTGACATAATGATATGTCCTGATAAATCACTCAAAATTTATACCAATTTACAACATTTTAACATGAAATATTGAAGACCATATAAGTAAAGATTCTTTCATATTTTGTGTGACATTTTGCTAAATAATATCGTCAAATGTTTTTGCTGTGCAACAAGTCCGCGTAATATTTGAACGGCCCTCGTAGATGTCTTAATCAGTGGCTGTTCCATCAATGAAACATACAATGATGTGCATTTTAAAATGTTTTATATAAATATTAAAGAATATTACTTAGAATATGATTATTTATTCAGAAATACGTGTGCAATTATGAACAATAAGTTGTCTTTCTTTTGTTGTTTGTATGGGAATTATGTTGCAGTTATTACATAATCCTCTTACGTTTTTTTTTTCTGGATAAAATTGCAACATTAATAACCATACTAACCATACTAACAACCAAAGAAAGCATATTTAGGTTAAATACACATACCAGTACCAGTATAGCATGGCTGGATGAACAAATATTCGGATAGAAATACACCAAACAAAACCTACAAGATTGGATCACACCGATTTATGCCTGTATTAATATAATAAGATATTAAATGTATGTGTCGTTATTTTATTTGTAGATATCATTTGAATGTCACCAATCATTGTATGTTATTAATGTTTCAATAAACAAAGCTATCAACTAGTCGAAGTAGTAAAGTCCAAAGCGATTATATTGAAAAATAGTTTATTAAGCTAGCTTGATAGATATGTATGAGAATGAAACAAATGTTATATATTAAGACATTTGTATATTTACTCTACACATTTGATCTAAATGTACAGAGTTACAATACACAAAACAATGTACAAAATGATATTATGATCACTATTATAACGTTATCATGATCACGAGTTCAAAAAATGTACATTTACCCTGTAAAGGGAATACGTGCATGTAGACCTAGCGATTGCCCACAGAACTTTGAAAACAAAACTTTAGACTTTACAGTTACAAATTGAATATAGAATTTTATATTCAATTTGTAACTGTCTGAAGAGCTCGTAAGGGACAGAAAGTGTAAAATGAATGTTCGAGGCTTTTGAATCCAATCGTTGGACTTTGAAGTATCATGATAGTATTTTGGAATGAAAGTGTTTGAGCATTGTTGATCACAGCATTTATTTCCTGTGAAATATTTACCAATATATTTCAATACTAAGCGTTAAAATATTTAATTAAAAGCAGAAGCCTTGAAATGTGGTTTATTATTTTGTTGCTTCTATTCTTTCCTGGAGAATTTAAAATAAACGGGCAAAATACATCTCTGAAATTCGGGTTAGTACATTTGATATTTCTCTGATTTATTTTGTTTCATTTCGTAAACAAAATTTTCTTATTTTTCAAAAGAATAAAGAGACATTGTTTAGCTGGATATGAACTCTGATTTGATTTTGTTTTATTTCGTAAACAAATGTTTCTTATTTTTCAAAAGAATAAAGAGACATTGTTTAGCTGGATATGAACTCAAAAACAGTAAATGTGTTGGTAAGTATCCAAAGCTTTCGCACTGTATAATAGTTGTTCCTTTAGATTTCTTTTCATAGGCATACAGCTTAAGGCTGCAGATAATCTATTTAAAAAATAAAGCAAGTCGTATTACTAGTATGGATAAAGTGATGAACATAATTGAATTGAAGCAAATCTGAATGTGTATTCTCTTTGATAGCTCTTTCCTTAGATCTGATAAACTACATGTTATGATTATCTCTACTTCTACATTTAAACGTAACTTGCAGAATTATTATTTGATTTTAACTGACAATTTGGGGAATATAAATCTTAATATAAGCGATTTTTAGAATGTAAAATTGGATACACTGGCGTGGAATGTGAGATAAAATGCCCATATCCCTCTTACGGTTCGCAATGTCAACAACTTTGTTATTGCAGTGAAACAATCTGTGACCATGTTTCGGGCTGTTATGGTATGTTAAATTTCATATCAATGAAACTGTAATAAACATTTTTTATTATATATTAATACATTTGTAATCAATAGAAAACTTTATTTCAATTTCCAACATTCCAATTTTCTATTATTTTTTTTAGTGTTAAAGGAAACCAGAATGACTTCGACTGCCTATTCATCAGCACCAAGCATCAAGAAAGAGAAAGTATCAAGGCACAGTACGACAATTAATTATAAATTATATAATTTTCATACTATAATATGACCCAGTCCATACTGAAATTAGTTTATCCATCAATTAGTGAATTAGTTTAACCATGAATTAGTTTAGTGAACTGCATGGAGGTCATATAAAATTTTCAATATTGCAAGAGCATACCCAATTTTAAATGCAAAAAAAAAAAATTAAACTGACAGTTGCTCTTCTTTTGCATCTTGTAGTTTCTGAAAAATGTTGCTGCTTTCTACTGAATACATATTTTATGTTCTTATAATTTTAAGTTATTGAATTCAAGTTGAAATATTTTCTACATTTATTTTCAATGCATTAAAATATTAATAATCAAGTAAAGCTGTCGATTTCATTAAGGTAAGAACAATTTTCA